AAGGTCAGTGCCGCCCCCCGCCGGCAGCGCCCCGCTCCTCTCCGTCGCCGCGGTGCCCCGAGCCCCCTTCCCGGTCTTCCTTCCTCAGCGCTCCCGCCGGCCCTCCCGCTGAGGAGGGAGCAGCCCGTGGCGGCTTCCAGTCCGTCGCGCTGCCGTTGTCGCGATACCTGGCGGCGGCACGCCAACTGACTGCTCCCCCTTCACCCCCGGCCCTGCACTTCTCCCTCTCCGTTGTCTCCCCCGCGTGTGTGGGGCGGGGGCGTAGCGCAGAGCCGGGACGGTCCCCCGGCCGGCAGGCAGAGGCGGGCTCTTCGCCGGGGAGCCTCGCTCCGGGGCCGCCTGTATCCGCTCCGTGTTCGGCAGCGAAACCCCCTAACGGGGTTTCCGTACCCTCGCGGCACCCGAAGAGGCCTGGCCAACAAACAGACGTTTACGACTTAAATCCAGTTTTCTTGAGCCTTAATAAACGGAGCGGCGAATAACGTAGTTACTATGGTGCTGCCGGGTCTGACGTTCCCACCGATCCCCGTGCCTTCAGCGCGCTGCAGGCCGCGCACTGGTGACGGGTAGTTGCTCGGCTGGAGTTGCTGGGGTGCCCGTGGTTCTCAGTGGTTGGGGGTGCCCGGGAGGGGCTGGGGACGGGGCCGAGCACGTGAATTCGCGGTTCCCGCCGAAACGACGAGCAGGGAAGGTTGCTTAGCTGGGTCTCCAGGCTCTCTTCGTTTCGGCTTCGGAGCCGATAACCTCCTGAGGTGGATAGAACAGTTTGCATCTATTTGAGTTAGTTTCAGAGTTTGGAGAGACACTTCTGGGTCAATTTAGTTTTTGTTTGTGACTTTTACGGTTTTTTTCCTATCTATAATCAACATAAGTGCTATTTATAAGCAGTTTGTTTGTAAACAAGTTATACTTACCTTTTTAAAAGAGAAATTTTGACAAATAGAGACCAAAGAATGTAAAAGATGCTTTCTTGCCCATGGAAGTAGTCACTGATCTTTACTTACATGTGTGAACATATCTATTGCAATATGTAGCCTGAATCCTTTTGTGAGATACAATAAAATTACTATTTTAGTGTGTATATTTGAGGAATACAGTTTTTCCTGTATCATTAACTTGAAAACATGGGGAGGCAGAAAGTCTGCCTGCCTCACAGTTCAGATGAAAAGTAGAAATAGTCTTAGAGATGATTTAAATGAACTGCCTGCTGTTAATAGAAATAAGCTCTTAGTGAAAGTACATACACAGTTTTGCTCACTTATGCAGAGCTCTATGAAGAAACAAAACATTTTTTGTCTCCAGTGATTCTAAACCCAGTCTGAAGTGGTATTGTATTCATCTAAGTCAGTAGATGGGCAATTCTGAGCAACTATGTGACGAGAGCATAATAAATGCACAGGATTGACAGCTGAAGTGCTGTTTCACTGGTAGCTTTCCCCAGGAGTTTTCCATTCAAACTGAGGAATCCTTTCACTAATGCTGTTCAGCACCTTGTGGCAAAACCTCTCGCCAAACATGGATTTTCAAGTGTTCTTGAGTTTTGATGTATATTCCTGCTGGGTCCTACCTCTCACATGGGAGCTGCCACTCACTGAATCTCCTGCTGGTTCTAGGAATCCTGTGCTTCAAGTGCAGTTTATTTTGCATGAGCAGCAGCTATGCTATGGTGGGCTGCTTTTCCTCCTGTCCCCCCTAGATGATGCTGTAATAGAGGCTTCTTCCAGCCATCCTGATGGCCTAGCAGCAAACACTTGCAATAATACATTTATTGTAAGATCTTGTAAAAATAAAGAAGGGGTTGGGTCATGGAATGGGAGGATAAAATGTACCTAGTGCTATTTCAAGCACCCCAGAAGACTAAATCGTTGAGGTTCCCCTCCTTTGTTGGCTACTCGTTCCGCTTACTTGTTGAAACATGCATATGTCTATATGTTTTCAACTCTAAATAGCCTGCCTCTCACATCTGGTTCACAGCTGGTCTTTATACACATGCATACTTAGCCTCTCATTTACTGTGCAAGACATTAGTTTTTTTCTTCCTCTGTCACTGGGATCATCGGACGGGAGGAGTGTAGGAAATAATGGAATATGTCTTTGAAATATTGCATCTCATGTTTAGTGTGAGATGTTCACATTTGACTTCTTTCCATTGCTTCCCCCCACCACAAAAAAAAAAAGGAGAAAAAAAAAAAAAAGATTTTATTTCCACCCTCTTGGCCATCTGGGGCTGTCTGGTCTTCAGTTCTCCAGGGGAAAAAAATTACGTCTTTGTGAGTCAGCTGGCTGAAGGTGAAAACTTAATTTCTTTTTCCTCACCCATTGTTCAGAAGCAATGTGATTCAGGTTCTGTGCAAGGGTTGGTAGCAGTTTAAAAACAAATCAATGTCATTTCAAGCTAAGGGTAATGTTTGTGTTTCCACTAGCTAGGAATTGTTCTATCCATGAGGCAAGGGAGGGATGTTGTGCTTCTATTCATTTGTTTTGTGGTGGTTGAATGAATAATTGGATACTTAGAATTTTAAGGGTAGGAATAAGCACTGCTGGAGCAAGCTCTAAGGAGAGAACAGTAAAAGGGGAAGAAGGAATGAGAGGAGTGAGAGAGTGAGACAGAGTAGAATCTGAAAAAGTATTAGGGTAAAATAGAGGTGGTAAGGAAATGGTAAATTGTTGAAAAATTGAGGAAGGCAAGATTGGTTAGTAAGAAGATAATAATTCAGAATTATTTTAATGAACTAGACAAACTAGGAAAACAATCTGAAAAGAAATCGGAAGTGGGGACAATGTGAGATGAAAATAAACAGCAATTATTAATAGCAGTTGGCTCTTTGATTTGGATGACAGGAGGGAACATATATACACACAGCAGCCTTATGCATTTAGGTTTTAAATCAACCCACTCTTCCCGAGCCAAAATGATTTTCCATTAAAATAAACCAGCAGTACCAGTATGGATTGAAAAAAAATGACGTTGTGATCCAGAGATTTCTACTCTTGCTATGCATAGATTGGCTTAATATTGAAGTGTATAATGATGCTGATTTGAGCTAGAACTAACTCTCATGTGCTACAGTTGAAGAAGGTTTTGGGCCTCTGGAAGCAAATCTTGGAGCTATTCACGGGAAGGGAGGTCCTGAAAAATAGGTGTGCGGGAGGAGCAAGGCAGCCGAGGTTCTGTCTTTCCGCCATCGGTTGCAACTGGGGCTAAAGCATGGTAGCAGAAACATCCTACCTTTTCGTTCTCCTCGTAACAATGGGTGATGAAAATGAAAGAGCGAATGCTCGATCTGGTGTGGGAGTTTGCAGGAGCTAAAACGTAGGCTGGAATAGAGAGTGGTGTCCTGCTTGCTTTAGGATTTTTTAGGATGCCAGGTTTTTAAGCATTGTGCCAATTCTGGATCTTGTTGTTATACAGGGGCTCAAAAACTTCATCAGTGTTGACAAAAACATTGTTGTAACTGTTCAGTCTTGCAGATAGAAAATTACATCGTGTCCTGTGCAGATTGGTCTAGCTTCATAGATGCATGTCTAATGTCAAAAAGTCTTGATAATTTTCTCTTTTTCAGTGAACAAAGTTTCATCAGTAGTTAGGAGTGGGGTGGAAAGTCATCACCTTCAGATGACAGAACTACTTCCTTTGTTTACAAAATACTTCCCCCCCCCCCCCCCGATAAAGCTAGACTGTTCTCTGTAACAAATTCTCTGTGTTGGACAGTTACACGGTTTTATGCTAGTTAAAGCATTTCATTATTTAGCCTAGTGTTTCTTTTCATTTTGTCTGTCTTGAAATCCTTGCCAGTAGGGATAGGACATGACTGAGAGGTGGACGTTGCTGTGCTTGGAGAACGGCATTGACGTTCTAGAAGGGAGTGAGGGAAGGGATAGATATGTGTTGCTTTTTGGAAAGTGGATTCTCAGTTGGCTGGTAAAGTTGGTATGTGAATGGAAATTCATGGCTTCAGAACTATATGCTTGCATCCCATTGAATTTTGGTTTTAGTTTTTCTTTCTCACAACTATGATACTACACTTCAGCATCGCTTTCTGAACGCTTTCTTCTATAGGATTTTACTCAAAGAATTGTCATTGGCAGGGTTTTCTCTACAAGTTTCCATGTTGTCCTGGTGAGTAGTCAGTGTCAGTTAGAGCTGGCTGTCATTGCTTGTTTGACTTGTCTGCTACTATTTCATAAATATTGTTTGCTTTTTTTCTATTTACTATGTAGGTATTTAGGAACAGCTTGTCAGCAGTTTGTACTGTGAGCTGTTGACATTGAAAAATAGAAGCAAGAAATAGTCTTGCCTCACCTGTGAGGTTTAATTGCATCTTCCTTTGCTTCCAAAAAACCTTCCCAAATATCCCATTGTATTTTGCACTTAGAATACTGTAATTTTTATGTGTTTTTTTTTTACTGCTGTCTTGATTGCTGTATGTTAGAACCCAAAGACTTTTTTTTTGTCTGAAAGGAGGGAGTTTGTAACATCAACCTTCAATAGTGTATTGCTATTCAGAACAGCATATAAACATTCGCTCTGAAGTATTTAGGATAAATGTCTGGACCTGCCAAACTGGGTCTAATGGAACATCTGCTATGAAAGTTGGTGGCCTGGTTGTCTTAGGAGAGATGTGAAGGAACAAGGCCTTCTTGATATACTATCCTCTGATCTCTACATTAATGGCTGAAATTTTATGAATGGAGCATAATCTTTTTTTAAAAACAGTCACTGATCACTTATTTATTTTTACAGCTATAGTTCTACTGAACCATTATTTAACTTTGGTTATTTTTTACATAGATTGTCCTCAACATATCCTTACAGGCAAAACTGTCATGCAGAATCTTTTATGGCAAGCATGGCAGAGAACAATTTTAGGATTGAAGGGAGTATTTGCATTATAGAGGTACTTGACTATGCATTGACATAACTTCTCTGTTTAGTGTTGTGGAGAAGTTTGAACTGTTGCTCTTAGTATTTTGTGGATAAATGCTTGTTCTGTGACTAAATAGAGAACTCTAGTCTGGTAATCCAACACCTTCCTTGAGCTCTAACATTTATTAGAAAAAAAAATTAAAAAGGAGTTAGTCAATGACTTTCTGCTATAAATTCCTTTGCATTCAAGAGCACACTAGAAGAAAACTGTTTAAGAGAACTTTGCCATGCTGTTGATTACTTGCTGCTCTTATTGGTTGGCTGCTAATTGAATGCATGTTGTTTATTTTTACTAACACCCCTAGAAGCCCTCAGGGAGTATTGAGTGTCACAGAGTGATAAAGCTAATATTTACTGAGCCCTTAAAACAAGAAGGGAGTGGTTGCTTATTTAATGGGGATCTAAATTAGTGTGTTGGAGAATATAGAATGCTATGATATAGTCAGATGATATTTTAATCTGTACTCTGGGTACTGGTTACTATTCCGAAAAGAAAAATTTCAAGACGACTGTATGGTGTATTCCTGCAATGTTCTTATTCTTATCTACATCTTTAAGGTCATGACAGATTAAAAATAATGTCTTTGTAATCTAGACATGCTAACTATTGTGATTAAAAGAATCAGTTCTACCGATTCTACTACAGTCTAAATCTGTATTGCATTTTATTTTGTGCATGTTGTTAATATTACTGCCACATAGCTGTAGGCAGAAGAATCTTCTCATGATTCATCCTCTGTGTTCTTCACCCTTTCCACAGTGATATAAATATATAAGCATACTCATGCTATTTCTAGTTTACTTGCTTTTTTCCCTTATTTAAGTATTTTTAATCCTCGTGGGGCTTGAGTTCAGTGAAGTAAATGAAAATGTTGCCATAGTCTTTAATTGAGTTTTTTGATTACTTCCTAAACATATCTTCTGATATTAAAATATCACTTATTATGTATATATGACAGTGATAGGAATATAAATGTGATCTAGAAACAAGAAAACAGTAAATCTTGTGTTATTTACTTCACAGGTAATTTAATAGTTGAATAAATGTTTGCCTATTCATACTAGAGCTTTAATGCTGGAGCTCTGGTGATCATGTTTTCATGAAAAAAAAGAGTAAGTTACCTTTTCTTCCTGGGTATATTTGACATTATTAGCATAATTTATATCTTTGTTATAACCCTTCTATTAATAGAACTTGACTATTCTCATTTTTCAGAACTATTGGCATTATTTTGCTATTGCATTTTTTTCTAAATATGCTCTAACAGCAATTTCTAATAAGAATTGATGTGACTCATCTTTTCAGGTCTTGATGAATGGAAAGCTGGCAAAAAAAAATCCTTCTTGCCCATTTTGTTATTTTTCAGACAGTGTAAGGGTTTTGTGGGGCTGGTGGGTTTTTTCCCCCATCTATGTAAATAGATATTTAGATTCTTTTGTCTGCAATTACTTTGGTTTTATATTTCCATATGTCATGTCAACAAGAGATTTGTAAGTGTACACCACTAATTTGATGTAGGATGTATTTTATCTGTGACATTAATTTTTAATACAGTATTAAATTTTTTCCACAATACAAACTTTTGCATTCTTTATAATTGCACTTCTCTTTTCTCCTTTCCCCTTTTTTTTTTGCCTTGCATGGAGAACTTTAATTGCTAGTGAAAGAATATAAATGCCTTACTTCATTACTTTATGTAGGTTAGTTGTGTATCCTTTTAGCAGTATGTAGTAAAAGCTGATTCTTTATTAGGTTAACAGTGTATTGGTCTACTTTCATAAATCCACAAAATATAAATTGAAGAAGTGAGTTTCCAAAGTTCTGCTTAAAGGAATGATTCTGCAAATGTGCATTCTTAACATGAGTTTAGTTTTTCCTGTGTACAAGAAAGTACTCTTCCTTAGACTTCATGTAATCCCTGATCCTGAAACTTTGATGTACAGTGGCAGGAATCCTGCCACACTTTGGAGCCCCTGTGGGACTCTGCACTGTGCAGATCTCTGTTCACTCCCAGAAAGTTGGTCTTGGGATCATGGTGTTCTGTACCAGGGAAGGACCCTTGTTTTGGAAATGAACGCTTTTTAAAAACAATAAGCTCTTCAGGTATGGATGGTGTCACTTAGATTTGTGTCAGTCTGAGCGTGCTAATGATACCTCATTCAAATCTGTGTAATATTTTGTAATGTGAATATCACAGTATCTTTGAAATACAAAGGAAATAAGCGCCTTGCTTCTTTTTGCATAAATTAGTAGCCTTTGCCACCTCCTCTTATTATGTTGAAGTTGTCTGGAATGCTCGTCAATCCAAATCCATCAACACTGTCAGCGTGCATTGATTTAAAAAGTGCTTAACTGTATTTCATACTTCTGGTTTAACGTCAAGTTTTTTGCTGTTTAAAATGACAGCTTAATTTGATATTGTTCTGTTTTAGACATCCTTAGCCACACGTTTTGCCCAAGAGACATTTGGAAAACAGTACAAACAAACCATAGGACTGGACTTCTTCTTGAAAAGGATAATACTGCCAGGTAAGAGAATAAAAACTAACACTGAAAGGTTGGGCAGCAGTAAGACTTGCAGAAACAGATTCTTCAAAGTAATGTATACTAAATAAGCTTAGTACAGTGCTTTTTATGGCAAAGTAAATTAGGTTATTCAGAGGAAATTTTGTTAGTACGTTCTTACCAGGTGACAAAGGGTTATGCATTTGCAACTTATATCTTTAAGTAAAATGCAGAATCCAATTAAAAGGAATGCTATCTATATTAATGATTTTTATTATCTCTACTTGAGTGTACTCGCTGTCTATGTGGATAGTGTAACATACAACAATGAAATGGAACTTTAAATATGTTCATTGAAAAAGTATATGTGTTTTGAAAGAAATAGATTTTTTTTTTTTTTTTAAATGAAATACACAACTTGTATTTGAGTTGTGTGTGAGAAGCATAATGCAGCTATGGAATCGCAGTGCTCTAATATGTGAATGCTGTTTTATGCAAGGCAGCATGAAATTGCTGGCATTTAATAGACCACTAAAATTTAGGGTCCCTCGGCACTCATAAAAATACAGTTTGAGCATTCAAGATGTTTCACTTCACGACGGCAAAGAAACTATTTACATGCCATTTGCAGCATACTGCATGGAAAATGCAAAGAAATAATTAAAAAAGAATAGTTGTGGGTAGAAGTTTGTCTCCAAACAATTGGGGGTTTGAAATAAGTCTTTTCATTGATTTGTGGTTGCTCAATTTCTAAGTGCGACAGTATTTCATTAAATGCATTTTCTTCTGGTTTCAGAAATCAGAAAAAGTTAGAAAAAGTATGTGTAATTATTAAAAGTTGTAGTGAGATTTGATAAAGTTGATGCAAGTTCTGTAGTTCTGTCTTTTTTCCTTGTGGAGGGCGGGGAGGGAAGCAAACCCAGAAATGAAACATTTTAGCTATAACCTGAAGTTATAAGAAAATATATACAGTTCTTGAACTTATTTTGTTAAAATTATATTGCCAATAATTTCTTGATTATGTTTATATATTTTCTTAAGTGAAACAGAATAATCTTTTCAGACTGTTCCTGCATTCACTATTTTGGCTTGGCCATTTTGCTGTGCTATTTTAGTATCTGGTGAGTGAGAAAGTACCAAATTTCAGTGCTTATTTCTCCATAAAATCAACAGAATAATTTTTTTATTGTCCTGCTTATGCCTCTAAAAATACCAGTGTGCATAATAATTAACAGCAGTACTTGCAAGTGGAATGTGTACACAAATCATGCAGTGTGCATGCTGAGAACTTGTATTTTGCAAGTTTTTTTCCAGCTGTTAAGCATACAGAAGCTATTAGTACATTACTGGGATTCTAAATATTCTTGATGAGTAGAAAATTTGGAAAATTATCAACTATTGATTTATTCACGTTTTACTTTCTTCGAGTGTATTTTGTAATAATATCAGAATGCAGATGACAATAGCACCAAAACAGCAACAAAGTCTGCATGTATTTTCCTTATTTATCAGTAACCAAATAGTAACGTTCGTGGAATGTATTCATATTAAGGAAGAAGCATTTTTCTGTAGATTGTCATTCTGTTTTTGCCTATGTCTATTTATGTGTTTAGGTATATATGGATTTCTGTATTTTATAGGTAAGCTGAACTGGTGGTGGGGAGTGAGAGGGAAGGAAGAGAAGAGGGAGGGAGGTAAAATTTCTAAATACTGGAATGGGAAGCATTACTTAAGTAAGCGGATTTTTCTAATTTCTTGATTAGTTCTGGGTTTGCAGAGCTGCTGTGTT